TCCACCCCAGCACCAATTACCAACTAAGCACTTAATCCCAGCAAAGCCCATTAAGTGAGCCTCGCTGACAGAGGTCACCCTGACCCCCCACCCAAGGGAGAGAAGGTGAAGGCGGGGGGATGATGATGGCAGTGGACACCCACCAGCAGCTCGGGGGTGTTGACGTCCACGGGGTCCATCACCTCAAAACGCTTCTTCACCTCCTGCGTGGGGAAGGAGGGCCGATCCAGGAGAGCCTTCACCCAATAATCCACGCAGCCGTACTTCCCCTTGAAGGTGGTGCCGAGGGGGCTGTGAGGAGGAAGAGGGAGGGGGGACAGAATCAGACACAGCTCCACACCCGGAGCAGAAAGAAACCCCCGTCAGAAAACAGCCCCCCAGAAGGGCTTGTGGCCCTGCAGGCACTGCTCACCCCTGGGGCAGCTCGAATCCAAACTTGTACTCGTATTTATTGCCCGGCCGGAGGATTACGGAGCCGTCCTCGTCTGCGGGGGAAGGACAGGAGCTCAGACACAGCTCAGCTTTCCAGCATCCCCTTTCCATCATCCCCCCCATGCTGAGCAGGCAACCCCCCCATCCCCTCCCATCCCCTCCCCCCATTGCACTCCTGCACACTTTCACTTCCCCTTTCCACCTCACCCCACGCCTGTGGTTCCCTTCCCCCCCCCCACCGGCGCAGTTTCCTTCCTATCTCTGTATCTCAGCCTTATCAGCAGGGGACACGCAGCTCCTATCTGTGTCCGCCCCGCAGCCAAACCGCGGCCCCGCGTCCACGCTCAACCCAACAGTTCCGTCATCTCACACCCAATGGGACCCAACACCCCTTCACCCCGACCCCTATGGGGACACCACAGCCCTGACACCCAACATCCCTTCATCCCATTCCCCAATGGGACCCCACCAGGATACCCAAACACCCCTTCACCCCAATGGGACCCCACCAGGAGACCCAAACACCCCTCCATCCCAATGGGACACCACCAGGAGACCCAAACACCCCTTTACCCCAGTGGGACACCTCAATGACACCCAACTGCTCCTCCACCCCATTCCCCACTGGGACACCACAGCCCTGACACCCAACATCCCTTCATCCCATTCCCCATTGGGACACCACAACGAGACCCAAACACCCTTTCACCCCAATGGGACACCACCAGGAGACCCAACGCTCCTCCACCCCATTCCTCAATGGGACACCACAGCCCTGACACCCAACATCCCTTCACCCCATTCCCCACTGGGACACCACAATGAGACCCAACCACTCCTCCACCCCAACAGGACACCACAACACCCGCTCCTCTCTTCCCCAGCTGGACACCTCAACCACGAGACCCAATGCTCCCCCTTCTTCCCACAGCCTGGAGGACCCAGTGACCCCTTCACCCCATTCCCCACTGGGACACCACAACCCCAAGGCCCATTGCTCCCTTTTTCCAACACCCCTTCACCCCAATCCCTTTTGGGACACCACAACACCCAAGGATCTCTTCACCCCACTGACACCCAAACATCCCTTCACCCCATCCCCCAGTGGGGTGAACACCACAACCCAGAGACTCAATGACCCCTCCCCACCCCACTCCCAATGGGACAACCCCATTGACACCCAACAGCCCTTCTCCTCATCCCCGCTGACACCCAGTGTCCCCTCCAGCCCAATCCCATTGGGGCACCCTATTGGGACCCAACGACCCCTCCACCCCACTCTTCATTGGACACCACAATGAGACCCAACACCCCTTCTCCTCAACCCCATTGGCACCCAGCGACCCTTCCGCCCCATTGACACCCAGCGACCCCTCCCCACCACTGGGACCCAACACCCTTCTCCTCATCCCCATTGGGACAGACCATTGACACCCAATGACCCTTCTGCCCCCTATGAGACCCTTCTCTCCCCACTGGGACACCACAATGAGACCCAACACCCCTTCTCCTCAACCCCATTGGCACCCAATGACCCTTCTGCCCCACTGACACCCAACGGGACGCCACAATGAGACCCAACGACCCCTCCACCCCATTGGGACCCAACAGCCCTTCTCCTCATCCCCAGTGACACCCAATGACCCCTCCCCAACACTGACACCCAAGGACTCCTCTGCCCCCCATGGGCACCCAAAGACCCCTCCCCAGTATTGACACCCAAGGACCCTTTTTCCTCCCATTGCCACCCAAAGACCCTTCTGCCCCCCATTGGCACCCAAAGACCCCTCCCCAATATTGAAACCCAAGGACTCCTCCACCCCAATATTGAAACCCAAGGACTCCTCTGCCCCTCATTGCCACCCAAGGGCCCCTCCCCAACATTGAGGCCCACGAACCCTTCTTCCTCCCATTGACACCCAAGGATCCTTCTGCCCCCCATTGACACCCAACGACCCCTCTGCCCCCCACTGACACCCAACGACCCCTCCCCAACATTGGCACCCAAGGACCCCTCTGCCCCTCATTGAGGCCCGAAGACCCCTCCCCAACACTGACACCCAACGACCCCTCTGCCCCAAGATTAGCACCCAAGGACCCCTCCCCAACACTGACACCCAACGACCCCTCTGCCCCAACACTGACACCCAAAG